AGATATGGGGAGAGAGGGATCCGATTTTAGGGGAGGAGAGGCTCTCTCTCTCTTGTTTCTTTTATAAAAATTCAAATCTTTTATAAAAATATCCAACTTTTTATAAAATGTGCACCTTAACCTAGTTTTTATGCATAAAACTCTTGATTTTTGACTTATAAATCAAGGGTAAATGTTAATAACTAAATCTTTATTTTTCATTGAATTTTATTTCATAATAATTATTATGATAAGATAATATCATAAGGTTCATAATTGTTTTTATAGGATTTTTAAGGTTAAAGTTTATAAATATGAGTTTTTAGGGCTTTTAGGGTTTTGGAGTTTAATAAACTTTGAATATCAAAATAAATAGAATATTTGAGACTTTAAATTATCTTATGGTATTATAACTCTTTTATAGTTATAAATAATGTTTGTAATTTATTTTTATCGGTTTATTGGCATTCTATGTAGTGATTCCGAGATTCAAGCGAAATTGAGGAATCAAGTATACTAGTCCTAGTCTTCAAATTTGACTTAAGTTTCTATGAGACTTTGAACTAACTTCCACTTCTAGGTCAAGTGCATGATGTGTGTATATGATTCATGAAATGTTGTTCGAGTCAAAGAGTGATCCAAATATGGATAGTCACTACAGCTTAGTAGATGTAGAATTCACATATCAAGGTGAAATCTAAGTACACCATCCATTGTTTCTATCTGTTTCCAAGTTTCTAGTAGGTTATAACTTAGCTTCTAATTACTAAGTTTAATATGTGTCGTGCCTATACGTGCAACTAAGTTTAGTCAAATCTAGAACCGAATCGAATTTTTGACGGTTGTCACACATCTCAACCTCGAGTTCCCCCGTCGTTCACTTGTAGATCCAAAACATTAACTCCTTCCTTCCCTGCCTCCACTATCCTAATTCTACATTCGCAAAAATAACTTTCATGTTTCTATCACACTTGACGTGCGAACGTGATATTGCTTGTTTGTTGTTTTATCATATGTGATGGTGATTTGAATCCCTAGTTATTACAAGAAGAGGAAGTGATCACATCATTGTGTTGACATGCTTCTTTCATGTTTACATGATGAGATTAATGGCCAGGGCCGAACTTACCTTGTATTAAAGTAAGCAAGGGCTTAGGGCCCCCAATTGTAAAGGACCCCAATTTTTAGTATAGATTGTTAGTTGTAAACCAAGTTTCCATAATCAATGAAGCGACGATTCGATTTCAGTGTTCTTCTTCATTCTTGGCGTCTCCCCTGTCCTTCCAATTTCAATTCTTAAAAACTGATTAAGTGAAAGAGTGAAAGTCTGAAACGTAGCCAACAACTTCTTTATTCTTCTTCTCGGTCCATTCTCTGATTTTCAATTGAGATTTGACGATTCACGATTGTCGATTGTAAGAACAACAATATTTTATCTTTTTAGTTTTTATGTTTCAAATACACTATCTTTAGGAGTATAATACAACATCATTGCATCAAATATAGTTGATTGACTGATTGTTGTATCAAGAATAATCATATTTTAAAACTTTGGTTGAAGAAAATATGGTTTTAGAAACTGAAATCTCTGATTCTCTGTAATCTGTATACATATATGAATATAGATATACAAGTTTGAAATTAGAGAATTGTTCATAGATTTCTAAATGTTTCAATAACTTATAATTTTTTCATGTTTGTCATCCAGGGGCAGCTCAAGTGTGAAGTGTTTGGAATTGTTTAAAATTTTGAGTTTTACATTTGACTCACCGTGTCAAGCAGGGAAGTAGGAGGTATTTCCTTCAATCCTTGCAGATTCTAAATCTTAAAGACTTAGTTTTTTTATTCAAAATCCGTAACATGACAGTATCCCTCATCTTGAGACTTTGATCATTGGAGATCTGACAAGTCTTGTACTACTGTGGTGGATCAAACAAATTTGCTAGAAGCTTCTACTTCTGGTGGAGAAGTTGTAGAACATCCAATATTTTTCTTCCCACATTAATTAGAAAGGTTATTCCTTAAGGACTACAAAAATGTTGAGTGTACTGATTATTTTCCTCTGACTTCCAAGTACACTTGCAGAATTGTATGTATATTTATGTATTTGAGAAAAGCTTTTGAATCACCTCAATTCACATTTTCAAGAGTTTGGCTATGAAGGCTGTGTCGGTTTGTCTTACATTGAAAGTTGTATCAGATTGTTCATGTGGCTAAACTTGAAGATGATGAATTAGGACACATGAAGTGGCTAAAACATGCATATACACTTGCAAGCATTTCACAAAAGACGAAAACATAATATTTTTTTTAACTCTGCAATTTAAAAAAAAAATTAGATTATTATTGTCGATCCCAAGCCCGGATAAAAAAGGACGGTTTATAACATTATGTATATTAAAGGTCAAATGGCCCCAACTTTTTGGTTCGCTTAGAGTCCCCAAACTGGTTGAGCCGTCCTGTTAATGACATCATATAAGTGTTAGATTCTACACAAGATACTTTGGTTTCGTATCCACCTTTTTATGTCTTTTGTGATAGAACAGTAGGACACCATATTCTGTTTGATCACAACACTCCAACTACAACCGCCCTTTCCAATATCATAGGTGATCCGATCATAATTTAGATCATTTATTTGTTGCTAGTGAATATGTTGACTTGCACACGCAGTTTCACGAGGTTTGATTATACATATTTCATATTTTCAGTTTATATAATTGTTTAAATTTATATTTGAGCAGTTTCATTAGGTTTGATTATACATATTTCATTTTTTAAGTTTATATAATTGTTTAAAATTCTATTTGATGCTTTATAATGTTCTATGAATAGAGAGACCAGTGTGCCTGTAATACTTACACTTCCAACTAAACTTCCAAATGCTATATTCATTGAGCCCACATCTTAGTTTTAGCAACAATTTGTCAAATCTGTTGAAGAACAACGCTCACATATAAAATAACTCCTACGAACGAGAAACAAGGGGAATCCTATGATGTATATGATTTAGGGGGGATTAGCGGATGTGCCATTTTAAGGGGAATCCTATGGTTAATCAATAAGACGTTGGGGCTGAGTTTTCTACCAATGTAAGAAGGGAAGGGTAGGTCATCAAACCCTTGAAGAAAGTAAGAAAAAGAAAAATGCAATTTTAAATTTTGAGACACCAAAATCATAACGAATTATTGATAACGAATCTCATTTTAAAAGTCTCAAATGTTAATAAAAGCATTTTCCCCTGAAACCAAGAAATTTACTCTATTTTTTATTTTGCCATGTGTTTTAAGTTAGAAATTTACTCTATTTTTTATTTTGCTCTGTGTTTTAAGTTAAACAATTAATAGTCAAATCTTACTAAACTTTCTCCCGCATTCGATCAATACCATCATGGGGTTGCTTAACAATAAAGACTTGATAGCCGTATTAGTTGTTATATTTTATTCAAATTGATTACATAATTATCATTTGCTTAACAAAAAAGACTTGAAGGCTTTTTTAATTGTTATGTTTGATTCAATTTGATTACTTAATTATCATTTGCTTAAAAAAAAAAAAATACTTGATAGTCTTTTTAATTGTTATATTGATTCAGTTGGACTACTTCATTATCCTATTTTTAATAGGTGTTTATAATTGATTATTTGAAGTGTTGATTGATTTATTGTGGTTTGACGCATAGCATAATGAGTTTTAAGTGTTGGTAAGAAAGATTTTATAAGTATTTATTGACTTAAATAATGAGTTTTTCATAAGTTAGTTATTTCTTACCTGTCAACTTATTTAAAGAGTTTTCGATAAGATTTCTTTATCACAACTATAAATACAATTTGCTAAACACTAAAATTTAATTTATTAACTTATTACGTTTTGGTACAGGATAAACTAATCAAAATATATTTTTTTAATTTCATTTTAACACCAGTTAAACTGATAAAAGCATATATTATTTTTTTGAGTAAATTACACGAATGGTCCCTATGGTTTAGGATAATTTGTACGTTTGGTCTGTAACTTATTTTTTAACTCGGAAAGTCCATACTGTTTGTTTTTGTTACGCGCTTGGTCCTTACTATTTGTTTTTGTTACGCGTTTGGTCCATGTCTTACCTAAAAAACTATTATTTAAATAGAGAAAAATGGTGGGGTAGATAAGGTAAGGTGAGGTGGTGGGGTTGGGGTGTGTTTATTTAAATAAATTAAAAAATCAAGCTCAAAATAGTATTTTTAAGCAACACAGGGACCAAGTGCGTAACAATGTCAATTCACAAGCACTCTCTTAAAGGTTTTATAAAACATTCTAAACCATAGAGACCATTCGTGTAATTTACTCTATTTTTTTAAAATCATTTTATATAAACAATGTCATTTCACAAGCACTCTCTTAAACGTTTTATAAAACATTCTAAATAATATCTAAATAATATGAGTGAAAAAGCATAGAGTTAACAAATGAAAAAATATGATTGCCAATTTTTCATATTCTCGTCAATTACAACGATTACTGTTTATTGATTAAATAATTTCGTCAATTAACATATTTAATCCATGTTTTTAGCCATAATTTACCACGTTTTGGATCAAATATGTCAATAATAGATGATATTCGCAATAACAATTGATAGAATGTTTGATTAAAGATTAATTTATTGACTTGAGTTTATCTAATTTTTCCTACAATTCTGTAATTGTTTTTTGAAGGAAAAACCTCGTAAGAATAAATTATTTTACAAAATTGTAAAGTTATACTTCTGTAACTGTTTCCTACCATTATTTATGATTTATATATTCATTTAATGTCATGGTTACAGCAGGTCGCTTGTAGGGTCCTGAGCAATATTAATTAATTAAATTATTAATATACGTATTCTGAAAGTATCTATAAAAGCGGACAACTTTCTTTGTAAATGTCCTTTTGGATAAGTCGTAAATTTTGATACAATGGTATTTATTTCTACCAATTTTCTTTATTTTTATGTGTTTTATTTAATTCTTTTAGTTGGAAACTTAGCCCACTCCAATATGGCGTTGAAGAAAGTTCAGCGAAGTAAGAATGGTCATCAAAACCTTGAAGAAAACCTTTATAAAACCCACACCACACGGCATTTTAATTCATCTCTTCCACTTGAACCACCACCCGCCGCCATGAACCGTAACTCGATCCGCCCTTTCACCTTCCCGGAAACCTTGTCCACCGTCCTACCTGACCCCTCCTCTTTCTTCTCGCCTAACCTCCTCTCATCCCCTCTCCCCACAAACTCATTTTTTCAAAACTTTGTCCTCAAAAATGGCGATCAACCCGAATACATCCACCCGTATCTTATCAAATCCTCTCTATCCTCACTTTCTCTCTCTTACCCATCGCTGTTTTCCAACACTGCTTTCACATATCAAATTTTTACAGCTGATCTTACCATATCGGTTTTGAATAACCCGAATCCGAATCAAACCCATACCATATCTTCCTTCAATGATCTCAGCGTCACTTTGGACATTCAACCCAGTTTGAGATTCTTTCTCGTTAGAGGCAGCCCCTTCTTGACATGCCAAGTATTGCAAAATGTCGCATTATCCATTTCGACTATCCACGCAATTCTTGATTTTGTTCCCAATTCTTCTAAAACCAAGTACAAGATCAATCTGAATAATGGTCAAACATGGGTTCTGTATTCGTCAACGCCCATCAGTTTGACCCATGATGTATCCACCATTTCATCCGATAAGTTTTGTGGTATAATACGCATCGCTATATTGCCAAACCCGGATTCTGAATTCGAATCCGTTCTTGATAGATTCAGTTCTTGTTATCCGGTTTCTGGCCATGCCGTGTTTACAAAACCATTTTGTGTTGAATATAAATTTGAGAAGAAAGGTTGGGGGGATCTGTTAATGTTAGCAAACCCTCTCCATCTTCGTCTTCTTGATAACTGTTCAGTTAAAGTTGTTGATGATTTTAAATACAGGAGTATGGATGGTGATCTTGTGGGTGTTATTGGAGATTCATGGGTGTTGGAAACTGACCCCGTTTCTATAACCTGGCATTCAATCAAAGGAGTTAAACAAGAATCATATCCTCAAATCATTGATGCTCTTGTGAAAGATGTCGAGGGTTTGAATTCAACTGCTATAGAGACCACATCATCATACTTTTTTGGGAAATTGGTGGCAAGGGCAGCCAGGTTAGCATTGATAGCTGAAGAAGTCTGTTATCTTGATGTAATCCCCAAAATCCGAAAGTATTTGAAGGATACAATTGAACCATGGTTAAATGGAACCTTTGGTAGCAATGCGTTTCTGTATGATAAATCTTGGGGTGGAATTATAACCAAACAAGGATCCACAGATACAGGTGCAGATTTTGGTTTCGGGGTTTACAACGATCACCATTTTCACATCGGGTACTTTCTTTATGGAATTGCTGTTCTAGCGAAGATAGATCCAATTTGGGGAAGAAAATATAGAGCTCAAGCATACTCTTTAATGGCAGATTTCATGACACTGGGTAGAGGTGGAAATTCAAAGTATCCCCGTTTGAGATGCTTTGATTTGTGGAAGCTACACTCATGGGCATCTGGATTGACCGAATTTGCAGACGGAAGGAATCAAGAAAGCACAAGTGAAGCTGTAAACGCGTATTACTCTGCTGCTTTAATGGGTCTAGCTTATGGAGACACACATCTTGTTGCAGTTGGATCTTTGCTTACAGCCATGGAGATTCATGCTTCTCAAACATGGTGGCATGTAAGAGAAGACGACACAATTTATGCTGCAGATTTCACAAAGGAGAACAGAGTTGTGGGAGTTCTTTGGGCAAACAAAAGAGACAGTGGGCTATGGTTTGCTCCAGCTGAGTGGAAAGAATGTAGGCTAGGGATTCAAGTTCTACCATTGTTGCCGATCACAGAGGTTTTGTTCTCTGATGTGAGATTTGTGAGGCAGCTTGTGGAGTGGACTTTGCCTGCTTTGGAGAGGGAGGGTGTTGGAGAAGGGTGGAAGGGATTTGCGTATGCGTTGGAAGGGGTTTATGAGAAGCAGATTGCTCTTGAAAAGATGAGGAGTTTGACTGGATATGATGATGGGAATTCACTGACTAATTTGTTGTGGTGGATCTTCAGCAGGGATGATGATTCTGGTGAAGATGGTGGTAGACATTGTTGGTTTGGTCGTTATTGTCACTGAAATGGTTGGGCGATGCATACACGTCTAATGTCTCTATATCAAATGTTTTTTCTTGCGATCCATAGTAATATTTGTTCTCAAGCTCAATATGTGATATCTTTTTCATTGTATTTTCATTAGAGAAAGTCAATGTAGAGTGTATACATACATTTTCATGAATAAAATTGAACAATTGATGTTCTTACTTGTCTATTTAGGCGTGCTTTAATGAAAATCATCATGCGACATGAAATAATCTGAATGACATAACCAACTGTTGATGAACCTACCTGCAATATTAGTGTTTTTAAAATTATTATGTGGAATATTAAATACAGTACTAAATAATCACATAATCAAAGGTAACAATTTTTTTTATTTGAACCACTAAAAATTTTATTCAACAAGTTAGCAAAAAGAAAAAAGAAAAAAAACAATTAGCGGGAATCCTAATCTATATCTATATCTATCTATACTATCTAATAAATAAAATGTGAGATTTTCTAATGTGTCCTAAAGGCACATATAACAATCATTAATTATCACAAATATTATCATAGTTAAATATGAAATTCATTTATTATGAGAAATATTGTCATAATTAAATGTGAAATATATTAATAATCTCCATAATAAATGTAATTAACATTTAATTATGGTAATATTTGAAACATTCCAAAAATCAAAGTAAAATTTTTATTTTTCAAAATCAAACCATACAAAACTTAGTTTCCAAAAGTCAAAATCACAAATCAGAGTATATCCCAAAATCAAATCTCATAAAAACTGAAGGATGTGCACGATCAAGCATTCGCCTTGTCTCGATCATCTGAAGTACCTGAAACATAAAACTTAAACTGTAAGTCAAAGCTTAGTGAGTTCCCCCAAATACCACACACAACCAAACAAATATACAAAATGCATGTTGGGTCCACAGTCTCCCGACTGGATTACCCTGGCCCACAACCTCACAGTTAGATTGCCACTCTGGCCCACAATCTCCCGATTGGATTGTCACTGGCCCACAATCTCCCGATTGGATTGCCACCGGGTTTGTTGGCCGATAGCACAAAGCAGTGCAGCCTTAACCCAAACTACACTATGTCGATATATGCAACAAATAAATATATAACAGCAAACAGATAAACATGCAGATCTCATCAGATCACTACAGAATAGCAACATCCTAAAACAGGATAAATAATCTACTGGGCCGACATTGTTGGCTTCGACCCACAAGTACAGTGAGGAAAACTCACCTCACAGTCTGAAAAGATAGCAGAAAAGAACATTGCTCCAAATTCCAACTCTACAGGTCACCTATACGACAAACAGTAACCTAAATTCAAAACTACAAGTCAAAATACCCAAAATGCCCCAAGGTCAAACTTTGGTCAAACCCCAGGTCAAAGGTCAAAGTCAAAAAGTCAAAAAGTCAAGCTGGTTGAGTACGCCCTCGTACTCAGTTACTACGTTGGGTGTAGTCGCGACCCAAGCAATTATCGGGGCTTCAGCCCACTACGCGCAACATACTACTTGGTACGCCTGACGTACTCCTCCTAGACCAGCACATTATGATTAAGTGCTTATTTCTTAAAGACCTTTCATCCAAATTCATATCTAGACCCAAAACATCATTCTAAGTCATAAAGTTTCCACCTTTATGACTTTCCATGGCTAGAAAAGGTCCAAAAGCTAAAACACTAACTTATTATTCCATTAAGACATTATAACTCTTGCATGGAAGGGATAGAAGGACTAAGATCACAATTTTATGGTTCTTAGCACCTCAAAAAGTCTGAAAGGATAGCTCTTCTGGTTAGATTAAGCCATACTCATGAACACCAAGCTCATGGGACCAAAAATAAACACAAACACTAGGCTAGAAAGATCTAAGCAAATAACTCATGAAGTTTCAGACTTTATACCTTCAAAGGATGCTTAAAGGTGAAACACTTTTGGATCCAAGATGCCTTGAGCCTCCAAGATGATTCTACTTCCTTCTTCTTCATTCAAGAACACCAAAAATGCACGCTCAAGCTCAAATACGTATGTTGGATTAGTGTCTAAGCCCGTAACCATATTTGGTAAGTACTTGACCCGGTTGTGCATGGTCCTTTTGGGTTGCCTTCGCCAAAGCAACTTGACTGGAGAAATAATAGACAAAGAGGTTGTTATGGTTTATTAATATATTATATGAATAATATATTAAAATAGAAATCATATTTATTTAGTTAACATTGGTCAAGAATTAATTAAGGATTAATTTTGTGATCAAAAGAAGTTAATTGAACTAGGGGGACTGAACTGTAATTATGTGATAGTTGCAAAGTAGGGAAAAGGATACCCTATATGATAGGGTGGACGAATTCAAGGGGGATAAGGCCTTAGAATTCGTCCATGATAAGGTTTATAGGGTTATCCTTTGGGCTGCTTGGTGGTTAAGCAACCAGATAACGATAAGGACTGAAACCCTAATTCCTATACCTATATAAAGACCCCTTGGCATAAGAAATTCGGCCACTTGATACCTAGGGTTCCTAGAGCCGAATTTCATACCTCCCCTCTCTCTCTCTTGCCTCTCCATTTGCTCTTGGTGTTTGTGAGCCATTAGAGGTACTACACTTATGGTACTTGCTTTCAAAGAGAAGAAGATTCAAGATACAAGTTATTATTACAACATAACAACAAGAGGTATGTATTCCATTCTCCTTTATGATTTTCGAAATTACCTAGGAGCATGTTAGGTCTCTTTTGTGGACATAATGTTGTATAACTAATAATGAAAACATAGATCCGTATCTAGGGTTGCATGCACACATATGATTGTTTGTATAAACCCATCAGTGGTATCAGAGCTTTTTGGTTTTGTTTTCAATTAGATTTTATACAAAAGTATGATTTTGACATATTAGGGTTTATAGCAAATAAACCCTAAGGGCTTGATTTTCGAAATTAGGGTTCCTAAACCCTAGATTTCGAAATTTTGATAGGGTTTCCCAAACCCTTTCCTTAGCCTCCAAGATTTCGAATTTTAGGGTTATCCAACCCTAGGGTTTTCGAAATTGCCTCATCCCCAAGATAAGATTCCTAAATTTTAGGGATTTGGATAATGTCATATCTTGTAATTATCCATTTAATTGTTTAATATGGTAATTAAAGATTTTGAATTATCTCATCCCAATTTTCGAATTTTTAGGGGATTTAAGGGATTAGGTTAAATTAATTGTTAATTTAATAGATAATCCTTCAAGATTTGATAATTCAAATTAATTATTTAATTTTGGGATAATTATTAAATCAAAGTTTTAATATTTAAAATTTCAAATTAAAAGATTTTAATTTTCAGAAATTTTAAATTTGATTAAAACCCTAATGATTTGAAATGTTTCAAAACTTGCCCTCAAGTTTTGGAATTTAAATTTTAATTAAAAGTTTAATTTTAAAATGTTAAATTCTAAAACCCTAATTTTTGAAAAGTTCAAATTGTGCCCTTATGGTTTTATTAAATTAATTAAGTGTATAATTAAAAGAGAGTTAATAAATCCATAATGATATGGTTTACATGTAATTAAATTAAAAGTGTAAAATTAGACCACATAGTATTTTAAAAGTGTAAAAATTAGACCACATAGTATTTTAAAAGTGTAAAATACACCCTTATACTATATATAAAATTAAAAGTCTAATATTATATATGTATAACTTAAATGTCAGTCTTACCGTTAGTAGGCCTCATTCACGAAGCTAGTCTATAAGGGGTGTTTAAGGAAGCGGCCTGTAAAATGACTGCCATTGGGTATCCACTCTTACCCACCGCACTCTTGACTAGTGGAGGGTCGTTAGCCGAACGGGTAGGATAGGGCAAACCCTTTCCATTATAAGTATAATGAAATACGAAGTAACTAAACGCTTTTATAAATTCCCAAATCTTAGTTACTTTAGGCAAAAGTGAATTTGATGCAATTCCATGAAATTACACTTTGTACCCTTGCTAAGACGTTAGTGGAGCGTGTGTGGTTAACCGGCACACTAAATGGGTTCTAAGAAAAGGTAGCGAAGGGTGACTCGATGTTTGTCATAGTTCGGTGGAGCGTGTGTGGTTAACCGGCACATCGAATAGGTGACTATAACATTGGGGGCACCATGTATATTTGCATGGTTATTCACACCCTGTTTTGTGATCATCGGCATCCCAGTCACAAATCGAGGGGCATATCGAGATTTAAACATGCCATTAAAAACTTCAATGAATCTCAAAGGATCTAGGAGTTTTCAATACATTTAAAACTTAATCTCTTTTTCGTTTTTCATGGTGGAAAATTAGTGAATCGTCATTCACTTACCTTCAAATGTTCTGCAATTTGGGTTACGGCATCCCTCTCCCAAGTTGAAGAGTATTGTGTTGGGTCCTAGCCTTAATATCTCGTTTGGGTGTTTTATTAAGGACTCAATCAATTGACTTGAATTTTCTCCCGTTTTGTAGATGTCTGATTCTAACTATGGTCTTCCCAAATCCCTTGGAACAAGCTTTCCACATGAAGATGATATTCCACGATTCGATCGAGGAACAAGAGCTCATGCTTCACTTCCTCCACCTCCTCCTATTGTTCTCCCTAACCCACAAGTTCAAAGGCTTGAAAAGTTCAAGCTCACTCAAGACCTTTTAGCAAGTAAACATGAAGAAGGAAAGTCAGTGTGTGCACACGTCTTAGAGATGAAGTCACACATTGATAGGTTAAGAATGTTGGGAGTCGTTGTCTGTGAGAAACTAGCTGTTGACTGGGTTCTTCAATCGCTTCCTGACTCATATAGTGAGTTCGTAAGAGAGTACTATATGACGGACCACGACGTGACCCTCATCAATCTCACCTATTTGCTTGTTGCTGCTGAATCAACAATGATTTGGCGCACTGGAGAAGCAAAGTTGATTGGTGGATCTACCTTCCAAACCTCCATGGACATAGGCAATGGCAACGAAAGGCATGCCATGGTCGAAAAGTTTGATCATAAGAGAAAGG